ATACATCCGTTATACACTGTGGTAATAGAGCATATATACACTGTGGTCATAGCATCCGTTCATATACACTGTGGTCATATAGCATCCGTTCATATACACTGTGGTCATATAGCATCCGTTCATACATACTGTGGTCATATAGCATCCGTTCATATACACTGTGGTCATATAGCATCCGTTCATATACACTGTGGTCATATAGCATCCGTTCATATATACTGTGGTCATATAGCATCCGTTCATATACACTGTGGTCATATATCATCCGTGGTCATATAGCATATAGCATCCGTTCATATACACTGTGGTCATAGAGCATCCGTTCATATACACTGTGGTCATAGAGCATCCGTTCATATATACGTTCATATACACTGTGGTCATATAGCATCCGTTCATATATACTGTGGTCATATACACTGTGGTCATATAGCATCCGTTCATATATACTGTGGTCATATAGCATCCGTTCCGTGGTCATATAGCATCCGTTCATATATACTGTGGTCATATAGCATCCGTTCATATACACTGTGGTCATATAGCATCCGTTCATATACACTGTGGTCATATAGCATCCGTTCATATACACTGTGGTCATATAGCATCCGTTCATATACACTGTGGTCATATAGCATCCGTTCATATACACTGTGGTCATATAGCATCCGTTCATATACACTGTGGTCATATAGCATCCGTTCATATACACTGTGGTCATATAGCATCCGTTCATATACACTGTGGTCATATATCATCCGTTCATATACACTGTGGTCATAGAGCATCCGTTCATATACACTGTGGTCATATAGCATCCGTTCATATACACTGTGGTCATATAGCATCCGTTCATATACACTGTGGTCATATATATACTGTGGTCATATAGCATCCGTTCATATATACTGTGGTCATATAGCATCCGTTCATATACACTGTGGTCATATAGCATCCGTTCATATACACTGTGGTCATATAGCATCCGTTCATATATACTGTGGTCATATATCATCCGTTCATATACACTGTGGTCATATAGCATCCGTTCATATACACTGTGGTCATATAGCATCCGTTCATATACACTGTGGTCATATAGCATCCGTTCATATACACTGTGGTCATATAGCATCCGTTCATATACACTGTGGTCATATAGCATCCGTTCATATACACTGTGGTCATATAGCATCCGTTCATATACACTGTGGTCATATAGCATCCGTTCATATACACTGTGGTCATATAGCATCCGTTCATATACACTGTGGTCATATACTATGGTCGGTATAGCATCCGTTCATATATACTGTGGTCATATAGCATCCGTTCATATATACTGTGGTCATATAGCATCCGTTCATATACACTGTGGTCATATAGCATCCGTTCATATACACTGTGGTCATATAACATCCGTTCATATACACTGTGGTCATATAACATCCGTTCATATACACTGTGGTCAAATATCATCCTTCCCATATCTGTGGTCATATGCCATCCGTGATCCTTTCTTGCGATGCAAATCAAATTCTCCTTTAGGACATAGGATATATATGTGTGGACTGAGAGGGAGGGGTTCAGGGGTGCTTACTTTTAAGAAAGGGGTGCACACTTCTCCCGTTTTCACGAGAGTTTCAATGGTCATTTAAAATAGACTTTCAAGACAAGGTGTGTGTGAGTGTGTGTGTGGTGTGGGTGTGTGTGCGCACCCCCTGCACCCCTTCTCAGGATCCGCCAATGTCAAGGTTCAAATTCAGACTACCATCGTACCACACCAGGTACCCAGTTTACTGCTGGGTGGACAGAGTCAATGCTGAACAAACTCACCTGCCTAAGGTGAGACCACATGTATCACATGTGCTTCGTTGTGGGGAAACTCTCAGGAGTCAAGCAAGTCTGGATTCCTTTAATTGAAGATGATATAGACAAACTTTTTAAGGCGCACTGTTAAGAGTGTAGCGGAGTTAATAGTGTAGCAAAACCGGTATTAATAGTTAACACTTGGTTGGCTGTCACAGTCTTTAATTATCATACTACGCTCTAACCATGTTAGGCAACCCATGACGAACTGTTTTACATCGTTGACCAATGGTTTCTGGGGCAACCAGCTACTCTCAGACAAATGCGTAAAGCAGCCAAGCTCTGAACGTCAAAACGATTAACAAATCATATCGAACGTACATACATTGAACGCACATTGATACAATGACATCAATGTTCCACCAAATCAAAACAGATTAGTGGTTACAAAAACCAACATTCCGAGAATATTTACCTTAATCTTGACTGACCTGGAAAAGTCTCGGCAAATACCGATTAACTATGACTGGGTTGCTATTCCCATATGGAAAGCTTTGGTGATGATATACTACAGGAATAAAGTAACTGTACATTATTTGATGTTATGCCATTTTTAATGTAAAAAGATAATAACATAATATGAGGGTTTTCCTTAATCACTGTTTAACTGTTGACAGGATAATAACGAATACTGCATGATTTGACACTAGACATCGTGACACACCCTTTGAAGAGATGTGGTGTCAAACGTCAGTTTACAAATTCAGTATCGTGTGTGTCCACCATTGACGTTGATGCAGGCTTGACAACGACGCATAGACAACGACGACACATAGACGACACTAAGCGATTGAAGAAAGCTTGGGGAACATTCTGATACATGTCTGAACCAACGCTTGTCCCAATTAACAGTAGTTATAAGCACAGCCCAGTGATACGAAACTAAAAATACGAAACTAAAAATAATCACTCCTGATTCTGGGCTTGACGTACACGTCTCTCCATTTCACCCCAAGCGTGTTCGATAAGGAACAGGTCCTGCTGTCTCAGGAAATCTGTCACAGCACGAGCGACATGTGAACGGGCATTATCTGAAGCGTGAAGTTACGTTTTCTGTCCTGGAATGAACGGGTGCACATGAGGTCCAATGATCTCATCCCAGTATCGCAGACCTGTCAGATTGCCATAGGGCCTTTAGTGAGTGAGTGAGTTTAGTTTTACGCCACACTCAACAATATTCCAACTATATGACGGCGGTCTGTAAATAATCGAGTCCAGACAATCATGTGATCAACAGCATGAGCCTCGATCTACGCAGCTGGGATACGATGACGCCGTTAGACGCCTCTTACGACAAGCATAGGTTACTGAAGACCAATTCTAACCCGGGATCTCAGTTGTGTCCGACCATGAGATTTCATGTTTCCCCATACCATATCGCCACCAAACTGTCGACGTTGAACAACGCACGCGTCAGCATACCGCTCATCTCGCCGTCTCTACACCCTTGCCCAGCCGTCTGAGCTGTTGAGATGAAATCTCGACTCGTCAGCGAACAAAACACCATCCCAATCTTGTCTCCTTTGCCGTAGATGCTGTCTGCACAGGCAAGACGTGCCTGTCGGTGACGTTGGAGCAAAATTGGACGTATTGCAAGCCGCCGGGGCCAGATGTTGTGCTCCGTACAGTACTGGAACTGTTTGGACGTAAGCCAGGAATGGTCCGAGCAACTTGCAGTCTGGAATCAATTCCTTAATTGGGTCAGCCGAATGTGGTTGCTGATGTGACGTCACGCGTGGACCGCGGGTCCGAGGCAAATCTCTCGTGTTTCCATTATGTTGAAAACGTCTCTATACAGATGAGATCGTGTTTCGATGGTCACCAAAATGTCAGACCACTTCATTTTGGGCCAGTCCAGTTTCCAGCATTTCCATGAGGAAATCGAGTATTCTATAAGTCTCCCATTTAAACACATTCTGTGTTTATACTGATCAAAAACGTTAATAAACTGATCCACTTTCAATTCAAAGCACTTTTACATGTAATAGAGCACACTTGTACTAAGTCAGTGCAAAATTTCGAGTTGCAGAATCGGAAAATCCATTCCATTTTAGTAGCACCCATTAGCTTTTCCTGGAATTTAGCGTCTGGGCCGTCTGGTTTCCTAGAATCGGTTCGAGAGGCGGGTTCAGTAACAGTACCGCGAGTGCTGGGACGACTGAATTTCATTGAACGGGTAGGATTCATATGACTTTCGCAAACATGCGGGGTTCGGGCAGGGCCGGATACAGCTTTTTGAGAAAGGGGGCTGTGGTGCACACTTCATTTTCACGAAAGTTTCAATGGTCATTTGATAAACTTTCAGGACAAAAAGGGGGGTGGGGTGCGCACCTACAACCTAGGAGGATCGTAGGGGATCGTGGGTGTGTGGTGTGTTGTCCTTTAAGTTTATCAAATGATCCTACCCTGTACAATAATATTTAATATATTGCCTCGTGTATCTTCTTTCCACGTGTTACCTGTACTGATAGATCCGCCTATGGTTCGGGGAATATTTCATCTTTTGATGACTCGTTACTATCCGCCTTAACATAGAAGCAATATGTAGGACCATGCTTTCTACGTCCGTCATTTCCAGACATGGTTAGACATGACAAGCACCTTTGATATGAAATGTCATATACTGGAGATGAGAGTACCGTATTTGCGATGCGAGTGCCGATCTCTAATAGAAGCAAGTCTCTAATAGACGGAGGTATGGTCATCTCCTTGCTCTTGAAATCAGCTTCACCCCCCCAAATCATCTCACGTCCATCTCACTAAATTTCTTAATTTACTCAGGTGCCTCCATCGTTGCCTTTTTAAAGGCTTTTCTTGTTTACTGTGATTCGTGAGTATTTTACTGTGATTCGTGAGCGTATTCTTGACTCCCATTTCTTGTTTACTGTGATTCGTGAGCGTATTCTTGACTCCCATTTCTTGTTTACTGTGATTCGTGAGCGTATTCTTGACTCCCATTTCTTGTTTACTGTGATTCGTTAGCGTATTCTTGTTTACTGTGATTCGTGAGCGTATTCTTGTCTCCCATTTCTTGTTTACTGTGATTCGTGAGCGTATTCTTGACTCCCACCTGCTGATGTCTTCCTTACATGAGGGTTATGTACTAAATAGCTGTGGTATTTCAGAACCGTTTTGTCACATATTGCCTGTTCCAAATGGATGGACACCAGATCCGTATAGCACATTCTTGTCGCTCGAAGTCCGACATAATTACCGAGATGGCAAAGTCTGCGGATCAAAAGGTAAGAGTGTAAATAACATATACAGATACATAATACTACTCTGCACAATGACATCTAGTGGTCGTGAATGTTTTGGAGGACATGTTTATGAAATCGCGTGCTCTGACTTCACAACAATGAGTACACCCCCAAATATTCATGATATTTACCTTTTAATGTACCGTACATAATGATAATGTGGACAAACAGGAAATATTACCTAATAATATTTACCAAACATTAGTAACACCCATCTGTAAATATTTACAACGTAGGCGGATCTAGAGGGTATTTAATTGGGTGTATTTTCATTTTAAATATATTGCCTCGTGTATCTTCTTTCCACGTGTTACCTGTACTGATAGATTTGTGAGATCTGCGATTGGTAAAATATATTTTTCAATACCTTATCTATTTGTCAGTATTCAAAGATATGTTATCCATTTTGTACTTGCCTATAACTTCAAAAGATCACAGTCATCTAACAATCTATTAATACTACGACTGCTACTGCGTAATGCGACCTTGCATTAGACGGCCATTGAGGTCCTACATCATAGCAGTCTCCGGACCGGATTGGGTGGTTACACTGTGTGACATGATCGAGGTCCAAAGACTTAAGAAGAACCCCTCACTGTGTACTGAGTAAGTGAGTGAGTTTGGTTTTACGCCGCTTTTAGCAATATTCCCACTGTGTATTAAAGTCAGGCCTGTTGTAAACATGTTCCACATGTTGCAGGGCCGTGATGATGCCTTCTTCCTTGTCGATCTGGGTGACGTTGTAAACAATTACCGGCGTTGGAGGAGACTGCTGCCGAGGGTGACGCCGTTCTACGGTATGTGATTACTTCTAGGTATATCCATTTAGAGAGCATGGCTGAGAGCAGAGACCATATAATCTATTATATATACCATAATCTATTATATGGTCACTGCTGAGAGAGATATTGGTAAGTCCAGTAAATGTACCACAAAATCACTGTCTTAATGATAATACTTAGCACTATTTTGGAGGGACTTTATATTGCGCATTTGATACAATTTTAAGAGAAACTTCATTCCTGGATTCACTGGGTATTTGTTAATAAGCGTCGTCAATGTAATAATAGTAATTATAGTCTCATATTTGCCTTCAAAGGGTCAGGACAATTTGTTAAAAATGAAAGCAAATGTCATCTGAAATTTATTTGAAGAATATGTGAAATACTTGAATTCTTTGTTAACAATTAATTAAAAAGGCGTACTGTTTATCATCATTCGTGCTTTGTATTTGTAGTTGTGAAAACACTGACCGTATCCTTATCTTTACACGTTATTCCATGACTGTAGCTGTCAAGTGCAATGCTGATCCAATATTGCTACGAGTTCTTTCCCAACTTGGAGCCGGCTTCGACTGTGCAAGCAAGGTACAATCTTGTTCTAATGGTGAAGCATCTGTGTTGCCATTGAACTTAATTTGGTTCGCAGAGATGCACGAGGTCTTGCTATAATTAGCATATGTTCGACATATATTTGTGAAGGAAATGTTCACTGAATATAGTGAGGACTGTTGAATTCTGTAGTTGTATTTAGTTAGACCACACTTAGCATGTTGCCATACCGTCAGTGCCCGTGGCAATGGAGATCCGGGTTAGAATTGGTCTTCAACAATCCCTGCTTGTCGTAAGAGGCGACTAACGGATTTGGTTGTCAGGCTCGCTGACTTGGTTGATGCATGTCGCGTCCCATTTGCATAGGCTGATGCTCATGATGTCAATCACTGGATTGTCTGATACAGACAGCCGTCATTTCATCCTACCGGGTACCCATTTGCATGTTGTGGATTGCATTTGATCATGCCATAAATAAGAAACCTGCAAAGGCAGTAAGAAAATGTGTCAGATATTTCGAACATATTTATCATATTTATCAAAACATTTTAAAGCCTTAAATCTTTACAAAACACATTTCCAGTGATGTTATACTGCTTATCCTACCTCCTCCTTTCCTAAGATTTCAATATTTGCAGGGCGAGATAGGGACCGTATTACAGATGGGCGTGGCCCCGGCACGAGTTGTGTATGCCAATCCATGCAAGCAGATCTCCCACCTTGAGTATGCGGCAAGGAATAACATAGATTTGATGACCTTTGACAACGAGGCTGAACTCTACAAGATCAAGTCCACGTATCCACTAGCACGGTAAGCATGTCAACAGAGGAAACCCTTCCGGGACTATTTGATGGACGCGCGTGCTTCCGGTACATGAATTGTTTTAACATTGCATGTGCATGGTGTATAAAGAGTACGGTGAGCTGTGTAAGGTATAATGGGATGATTCATGATCGGTTTTATACTTAAACGATTTAAAGAAACTCTGTTATACCAACGTTTGAGACGTTGCCCGAATTTCTTCTTTTTGTCGTCTTCATTCCTGAAAGGGTAGACATCTATATTATTTTGTTAACAAAATGTTTTTTTGACAGTGCTGTACAACATCCCTGATGGGAACTTCTGATGTGACAATTACTTAACCCATGGATTATATCAGATGTCTGTGGATTTACAACAGATAGATCCTACTGAAAGATCACAATAAGACATTGGTGATGACGACTGCTATTTGTAACCATATGTTTGGTTGAGCTGCTCTGATCTGTACTAATTTGTCTCCACGGCCAGGCTGATCTCTTATGTTTGGATTCAGGTTATTGTTTAGATGCGAACATAAAAACACTTCTCAAACACAGTTCCTTAATTGTATACACGGTGATGTCATGCTGACGTCATGGTGTGTCCTCACGCCCCTTGGAGCGTGTCTCGGTCCATTCCAGCAATGATATACCTTCACTCTTGCTGACAACGTCTGGCATACATGCATACTTCAGCCACAGTGTAATGTGAAGCCATGTGTATGTACCTGTGTTAGTAGGATATCATCGGGCACACCTTTATCTTTTTAAATATATAATAAAATACCTGATCACCTGTGATGTAAATATTTTATGTTTCTTATTGTTTCCAGACTCCTGTTGCGGATTGCTACCCCGTCAAACAATGACGTTCTGTACGACCTCTCTACCAAGTTTGGCTGCCACCCTGGTGACGTCAGCGGCCTACTGGGCACAGCGAGGCAACTCGACCTTGATGTTGTCGGAGTTAGGTCAGTCTCCTGGTCCCTCCTGCCCCGTCTCTTACGACACATAACTTTACCTTTCATTATGTGAAGATTCTCGTCAGATGAACCTTGAGCAAACTCTGATCACCCATGTAAACAAAGCATGTCTGTTATTAAGACCATCATTTGTCAGGTTTTTTATACGATTCGGCTTAGCATTGACCATCTCGAATTGGAACAAATAATGTAAAGCCTTCCTAACATAAATAATTCCTCTTGGTACACCTTTAATGTGTAGGTGCCATGGAAGGTAACATATAATCTCAAGTAAGTGACGGATTGGACTATAATATTTACATTCTAAACTGACCGTCCTACGCCATTCTGGTGTTCTGACCGGTTATACATTCGTACCAAGCTTTAGCACTGACGGACATATTAGAAACTTCACACTGTGCGACGTCCTAACGCTATAAGATATGTGCGAGGTACCATGTCACTGCAAAACAGAGTAACAAACCCACTAAAACATATTATCAACTTATTCATGGTTAAGAAACAAATCAGAGATAGACATGATATCCCAAGGCCGTGTTTGCGGGCGTTGTGTGAGCCTAGTGGTTAAAGCGTTCACTCGTCACGCCAAACACCCGGGTTCTACTGCCCACTTGGGTACAATGTGTGAAGCCCTTTTCTTATACCCACCAATGTGATATTGCTGGAATATTGTTAAAAGCGGGATAAAACCTATATCACTCACTCACCCATCTCATGGTAATGACCTACGTTCAGATTATGACGGACTTCCGTCGTAAGTCTGATTCATTAGGTTTCTCCCGCTCCAGTCCAGTTCACCTACATGTCGAAACTTTGCGGTTTCAGAATGTATTATAATGATCCAGTTTGCAATATCATCATCGCCTTGACGATCCACAGATGTTGTTGAAACATTTTGTGGGAGTCACACTAAGTATCAGTAGTAGACAGTAAGCTGGATGAGTCACGCCGGTAGGGGCGCCACTGCGATCATCAGGTGGGCAAAACAGGGTTCCGTCACGGAACATCTTGTTGTCCCATCACGGGACATATTGCGGTGGATAACCTCACCTGTGACCGGTCGCCGATCATACAGGTTTGTGTTATGCGCTTAAATAATCAGCTGCCCTACAGAACAACCTCGAACGATTTGTCAGCCAGTCTGCCCACCACCAATCAGAATTGCTCATACCAAACAACCTGACTGCAACAGAAAATGGTGGCGAAAAGAATTCAACCACCGACGGAACAGAATCAAAGTATGATACCCAAAACTCGCAGGAAGTACATTTCCTGCACCCACGACTAACGAAAGGTACAGTTACTAACGCAAGTTAACGACCAACACCCGGAAGTAAAATGTCTGCACGAAACAAAACACGCGTTCCCGTTACACAGGCATCATGTGCGATTTAATGTGCACTACGAAGGTTTACTGGGGTCGGTCATACACCATTTATCTTGGTTCAAAATGCCCTCGCTCTTTATATTAGATATTCTCTTTTGAAAGAGCACGTTGCAAAATGTATGGTCTTTGACGCCGCTTGTGTTTGTAATGTCCCTAATGAAGGACGTGGGTCGATGTTTCTCCTCTAAACATGATTGTGCTGATCATTAGCCTGGTAGACACCTTTCACAATTCCCGTGCATTTTCGTTTCCAGTATTCTGTACCTGTGCTAGTGTAAACAAGGCATTGTGTATACTTGTGTCCTATGTGTCCTTACCACCAGTTTCCACGTGGGCAGCGGAGTAGAGGACCCGGAAGTGTTCGTCGAGTCTCTACGGAGAGCACATCTTGTGTTTGAGATTGCAGCGAAAATGGGATTCACTCTTAACATCCTAGACCTTGGTGGGGGCTTCTATGGGCATGAAGGAGCACCGATATGCTTTGAAAAGGTAAAGTATACTGCCTCTTCTTGTGCAGAGGGCGAAAGAATTTAGGTGGAATCAGCAGTTTCTGAGGCGTAGGAAGTGAATGGATGTGATAGGTAAACTGTTACAGTTGCCACGTACGTTACAAAAAGAGCGATAGACACACGCACACGCATCAAAACAACAAAACACACGGTTACCTCAGCAAATGAGTGCCGGTGATATGCCTTGCAGTATGTGCTATATTTCCAGGTTGCCGCCGTGTTGAATAAATCTCTGGATGAGGTATTTCCCTTGAGTTCCAATGTCAAGGTCATAGCAGAGCCGGGACGGTACTTTGCAACATCACCCTTCACTTTAGTAACAAGTGTGATTGCAAAGAGGAAGTGCACGACCCCCACAGAGAAAACAGATCCACATGAACGTGAGCGAATGTTTTCAGCGACCGTTTTCAGCAATGCCACGTAGTATAACGGTAAAAATAATGATTCAAGTACATTTGGGCATAACACGAGCATCAATCCTCCGTCAACCTCAGCTCTTACGACCAGCATAAAAAAGAGTAAATTTCTCTTTTATCGCGCACTAAAAGCACTGTGCTTTTTTAAATGTGCTTGTGCATAACGTTATACGCTCAACATTAAAAATGACTCGCAATAAATGTCAAAATGTATTTTCTTCTATGACGTCAAACGACGACAGAGAGGGTCATACACGTATAATGATAAGGGGGCATAACTCCGTTATGCGTAAAACTAGGTCAATGTAACCCAGATCACTTGGAGAGAATTTGTTGTGGATACGGACGCTATATTTTCGTTATTTTATATTCATGGTGAACCACACTATTCCAATTCAAAGTTCCCCAATGTGAACGGATGCGCCTTGGTACTTTCACAATTTATAAGAAAAGATGACAACGTATTACATGTGAAGGCACGTAATAGCGATTTGAATGGCCCTATCCGATATATAAGTTAGTTCTTAGATTCCCATATTCTCCTGTTTGTGTAGATGTAATTTGACTAATTTTGCATCGTTATTACCAGAGTACTAGCCATATCTTCAAATGTAACGAAATTGCTGAAAATAATACAACATTTTAGTTGACGTCATCGCTTGTTTTATGCATTTTGCGACGTCGGAAAAAAGACGACATTGGTATGCTGATTAGTATATATCTCACTTAATTTCCATTAATTGTATAAAAGGTCTAGACTTCTATGTCAGAATTTAACACTCTTTAGACAAAACATAAAATTACTGATTTTTCCATTTATATAGTGTCCTGAATATATCAACAATTAGACAGTTTGACAGCGTATCTTATTGTGAACAACACGCGCACCTGTTTGGCATCAATTTAACGTAAATAAAATAATATTTCACAACACCAATATTTTGTTTGGGATAAGAATTTTGTTTGTTTATGATTATGAAGCTATTTATCTTCATACGTAAGCAGTGAAAGATGCAAAAAGATAGCTTTTTATATATGGAACTATATATTAGAATATGGATATAAGATTTGTCCGAATTAACACATGAGATGGTATATATATTTTTCAACAATTTTCGTACAAGTAGTTAGAGTTTGATATCCTGTCATCACAATCTTATTTAATCGAATATGAATTGAATATATTATCGACAACAATGATAGCGAATCATAAAACGTTCCCAACAAACGCGCACCTTGCCGATCTATATGCATCATTCTTTTGTCTATAAAACGACACAAAATTATGCAATGAACAAGACAATTCCTTTAAATATGTGTGCATATACATTTCATACCATATATAAATCATTTTCATTAATATTAGCAGTTTTGCATATAAGGTTGAATTATATCACCGTTCATTAACCTGTTCATATGAAATTGCAATATTAGTCCAAATAAATTGAATATTGTACATCATAGGAACTAAAGTAGTCACAGTTATGGCTACGTTTGATCTTCTAACACTTGTGTAAAGGTTTAGAATATGGTGTATTGCAATAAATATGTCAATTTCTTATGTAAATATGATTCAAACAATCAAAAAACTTTCAAAGAATAAAACACCGTAAACCCTATATGCACGTATGATATGATATTGAACAAGGCTAAATGTAGATACTGAAGTCAGTTTCATGAAAAAGTATCCGAACTATCCGCAAAATACACATCATAATACTGACAGTGTAATCGGAAGGATATGGTGATTGTGTTTACTCTTGTTCAACCGACCTTCGCCTCAAAGAAATTGCCTAATATGTACAACAATGTTGACGTATGACATCACTACCGCTGACCGATTTCTTACAAAATGGCGGCTTTGCTGACAAGGGTACACAGGATTTTGCGAGGACCCTTCCACTGATTCAGGGATCGTTTGTACATAAATATGAGATGTAAGTAATCAGAATGATTCTGACTATCTGTGTATTGTTATATGTCTATATCGTTTTCACTATACGTAAGAGAAAAGGACAGAAATGCAGATAATTACCGTTGTCGTTCTGCGTGATTTGGCGTCAGTCATGGCGTCACGCTGCACGGAAACTTTGACAATTTCTTATGAATTATCAAATCATTGCATTGTATCCATTTATAATTTCCTATTTCTTGCTACGATACTCTTTCAATGTATATTCTAAAGGTATTGAGCCATTGCAAGCAATGAATAGACGGATGAATGTTGAAAAATTTCAGAAAATGCTACGCAGTGTAAAATCGGAATTTGTCTTTGTTTACATTTCACACAAACGCAGTCTTTCAAGCACAGCGTTCGTTTTCACACCCAATATGTTTCGTCTCATTTTATCTAGACAGTTATTATTGGTGACAAAGACCAGTTGCAGTTTGATTCTAAAATGTATGGGGAATTCAGTGATGCATTTTTCGAAGCTGAATATGAAATATACGTGATGTAATAGGCGTCTCAATACCGGCCTTCGCGAAACGTGATTTTGTAAACACTATCCAATATGGCGGAAAGCGCTCTACGGTGTTCGTGTAAGTGCATTTTCGAAAACATCCCAACCGATTCTAGATTCATCGGCAACGTTTCAGAATTATAATTAGCGAAATCAAGTAAAACTGATATCAGTGATCATAAATATGTTATTTTTGAAATTCAATACTCACAGTAATTATCCGATTTTCACATTTCAAAACATACAGCAAATAACGCTGTGAATCGCGATTTCGTACTGTGTCAAAAATGTCGCCATTTTCGATGAAGCCTATTTTGAAAGGTCATTTTCAGCACTTGAGCTTTGTCTAAAATAATAGTGGATGGTATCAAGAAACAGGAAGTTTCCCGCAGAATTCGAAACTGTGAAGTGTATTTGTGTGCGTGGGATATTTTGATTTTTATTGGACTTCAAATTGAGGGTTGAAGGGGAAGGACATATATGTCCCTGTGGCATCCAGGGGGTTAAGTAGAGTCTCCGCCAGGTCGATCTGAACGTACACACACACACATATACACACACACACGCACGCACGCACGCACACACACACACACATATATATATATATATATATAAGAAGAAGTTTCTGAAATAATTACACAACACGGATCTTCTCCAACATGTTTCACTTTTATCTTCAGGGAGAAGTGATTACAGTTAAACGGATTATGTTATGACGTCAATTTGTCATGACGTCACAATGCAACTGTATACAAATGTTGTGACGCGGCGTTGCCATGACGTCACATTGGCGGCTTTATATTGACAGTACTGGAGAAGAACATGTTGGAGAAGATCCGTGTTGTGTAATTATTTCAGAAACTTCTTCTTATATATGTACTACTGTACGCTCGGTATTCTCATCACTTTCTTTATATATATATATATATATATATATATATATATATATATAAGAAGAAGAAGAAGTTTCTGAAATAATCACACGACACGGATCTTCTCCAACATGTTTCACTTTTATCTTCAGGCAGAAGGGATTACAGTTAAACGGATTATGTTATCCGACACGATCCGTGTCGAGTGAATATTTCAGAAACTTCTCATATTTATGTACTACTGTACGCTCGGTATTCTCATCACTTTCTTTATAGCATGTATAACATGTCCTCTGTAGAGAAGAGAGGTAAACGGAACCAGAACACATGTCAGTTTATTTGTAGTACACAAATTGACCATCGTAAGAAAATGATAAATAAAGAATAAACAATTTGTATTAAGAAAGCATAATCAATTCGCGAAATATAAACTCACACAAGTACATTATTGACCATCAAGGTATTGACCGAAAAGGTTCGTTCTGTTATACATGGAAATCATGCTTCCCACGCTTTGCACAACCTCAGTATACACGCGCAGCATCGACAAGCGACCCGTAATGAAGGTAAAATATTTACGCTGAAAAAAAACCCCACTGAGGTGTACTTTCTTAATGTTTACCCCAGCCGATTTCTCTTTAATCGGATTAAGGATGTGTTTGGTTATCATTAAGACCTTTCCTTTATTGAAACCAAAGTAATGACAAAGAAATAATAACAAAATCGGTATGTTTACAGGAATGCCTTAGATGTTTTGTATTCACAGTGACGACATTGGACCCGGAGAGGCTCGGCAGCAAGAAACCAACTTACATGTATTATATGAATGACGGTACATATGGATCGTTCGGTATCGTTCACTTTGAAGACACTCGCTTCATACCCCGATTAGTCAAGGTGAACTCTTTATGTACAGAAACAATACAATTATAATTAAACCCATTGCATAACTTTGAAATATAAAGTGAAACCAATGATAAAAAACCCCAAAAGTAGTTTGATGAACTAAGCCATAAAAGCCTTTTACCAAACTAGGATACATTCAAATACTATATTTACAGAATGTATTCAGCAGTCTATGCCTTAACTTTGGCCTCAAAGTAAGATTTTATTATAAGTTATTTCAAAACAAACAGACCTATGCAAGCGAAGTTTTTTTGGCGGGGAAACGATTAATTATTTTATTGAGTGAAGGATTTCTACATTTTCAAATTGCTTCAAAGTTTGCTTATTGGAGTTCATGGGTATTTTGTGGCAGAAACCGGTAGCGAGTGACGTAAGGAGCCAAATTTGATTTGAACACATGCACCCCAGATTCCACTGATCGTAGGTTCACTGAAGTTTCAGACCTGTTCTCATCCTCTGTATCACAAGTGCTGGCATTTCGGTAAACCTACACTTACCCCTTGATCAAATGTCGTGGTTCGCGCGATCTCAAATTATCCGCCCTTGACAAATATATGAGCCAATCAAACATCGAGGTAAGGAATAAGATTCGGAAAGGGGGATAACTCCTATTGTCAAGAAAGCAAAGCCACCATTAGTATTTATTAACAGGGAGACATCCTTGTAATGGAAGTGGCCGCTAGGTTGCTGACATCGTCGACCCAGCATGGAGGTGTGTTTGTAGCGTAGCAAATATAATTATCTAATGAAAAGCAAGGGCAGGTAATTTGAGACCACGAGAACCACGCCAAGGAATCCAGAGTTAGGGCGGATGTTAACCGAAGTGCGAGACCTATATATACTGAGAGGGAAAACTGTGTTCATGGATTTCTCATCAGTGGTTAACATCTTCTGGTTTGGCCTCTCCAGTATTCTGACACGTAATACAATTACGTGAATTCTGTTGAGAAGCTCTCACCGTTATCCTGAAGCACATTTGTCTTCCGCCCAGATCTTTTCGTAATGCAAAAACCTTAACTGAATCCAGTCTGTATTTCCTGATTTCTGAATTTCCGTTTTCAGTTTAAATCGACCATTTACGTTTTATCAAAATTCTATATATTCAGACTTAGTCCACCCTGAAATCAGCGTTTGAACTAACTGATCGTTGAGTTCAGCAATTTAAAGACTCTTACAGAGATATCATTGCTTCAGGAACCCACTAGTGATGTGACCTTCACATCCAGCTTGTGGGGTCCGACGTGTGACAGCATTGACTGTGTCCTGAAGGAAGTCCCTCTTCCCGAACTCCAGATCGGCGACTGGTTCTACTTTGAGAACCTGGGCGCCTACTCTATCAGTCTCCAGTCACGGTTCAACGGAATGCCGGTGCCCGAGTGTCATTACATGTGTGATGAAGATGTCTGGTAAGGCGGGTGATATGCACTTAATAACTCACAAGGCACGAGTGATTCAGGAAAATATTATAACGATGAAATAAATATTTTCAGTTTCGATCATTATCGAGGAATTAAAACAAGTCCCAGTGTGACATAGTTTCCGCATGCATTCGTGCCGAGTGTGTTATTCTGTCTATTACCCATAATCAGATTAAAGACTGGTTTCAACGAATCAGCTGTTTTTGTATCAATCTGAGGAATCAGAAAACACTCAATCATTAAACTGCTTTTCTCAGTCAACTTCTTGTTACGCGTGAAGTGTACAAGTAGGTCAAAAACCTTTACACATCACTTTATTCAAGTTATATGCATCTCTGAAAACTGCCTAGCATTGAAAACAACTAGACTAAGTGTAAAAAAACAGGTTCAGCCAGTGTTTTATCAAGGCTTGTTTTGACAATCCAAGATCTCGTATTCAGTTCTCATGAAAGAGTGGAAACACGGAGAACTGGCAATGATCTTTTCATATGTCATTCTTAAGACATCACAAAACCAATTGCAAATACACAGAAGGAAGATAGTCAAGTTTGTGTGAGAAAGGACAAGTATTAAAGTTAGAAATGTACGATTTTGTCACAGTCGGAATCGATGACACGGTTTGACCCAGATGTGGAACCAGGAACTGTGTACTTCGACCAACACGTTCTGTAACCTGTCCAGAATCCATGGCAATGAGGATCCGACTCTATGTGAATGTTTATGCAGCCTGTGAAGGCATTGGACATGATGTGACCAATGCAAAAAAGGCAAATATCGCACTGCAGATTTACAGGGAACATGTTCATCTATGATTTCAGGGGGGCTTGTCAGAGAGGGCATTGTAGATGACATAATTTTCTTGTAATTCATTAATTCATTAAGGATTGCATTATAAACTGTTGATGGATTTTGATCTGGGTGGACGACACGGCATTTTTATTATTTAAGACAGAAGTTGAAATAGAATAATAACCCAGGGGGCGTCTGTCTCAGTATCTCGTATGAGCACCACGCGCTGCAATCACTGCACGGCATCTCCTTGGACAAGAACGGATAAGACGCCGGATTCTTTCCTGGGGAATGGCTCTCCACCTCCTGCAGTGCAACGGCGAGCTGTTGCAGCGTCTGTGGCGGCGGCTGACGTTGACGTACGCGTCGATCCAGAGTATCCCACAGGTGTTCAATAGGGTTGAGGTCTGGTGATTTAGAGGGTCATGGCAAAGACATTGACGTTGGAATTCTGCAGAAAGTTCATTGTTGCACGTGCAGTATGAGGCCGGGCGTTGTCCCGTTGAAAAATCTGTGTCTGTTGGTCAATAATCGGGAGAAGGTGAAGCTCTAACACGTGGTTGATGTAACGTTGGGCTGTCAGGTTCCTGAACGATCACCAAGTCAGATTTCTGGTTGTATGAGATGGTTCCCCAAACCATGACGCTTTCTCCGCCAAATCTGTCCACCTGTCGGACGCAGAT